GACTCGCTCGGTGGACGGACGGACGGACGGTAGACCTCGCGCTCGTGAACTGTGCAAGCTCTGATTCGCTAGTCAGAGAAATGCATGGCGAGAATACTCTCAGAGAGAATGGAAATTATCCTGTGTCTAAACATGTTTATTAGGGCTGTGCAGTGAGGAATACAAAATAAAAGTTTGTGTTTACAGTGTATAAATATTTTGCATATATAAATGCACACACACATGCATGGATATATGTAAGAAAAATGTGTTCTTTGTGCTTAAAATGTTTACACTAATTACATATACATGCATGTGTGTGTATTTATATATACAAAATAATTATACACAGTACACGCAAACTTTTATTTTGGATGTGATTAATCGTTGCACACCCCTCTTTTTTTATTAGTCAAGTCACATTTATTTCTATAGCGCTTTGGGTGGAAGTTTCATGAAGAGTAGCATGATTTTTCGCTGTTGAATATGATTTTTGACCCTAAATCTGAGAGTCGTGATCCTCAGCGCAGCGTAATGGTTCATCCGCGGGTCACGGCCTGGTGTTCGCTGGGATGTACAGTATGTTCTCCTGAAGCAACAGTTGCTGATGGAGGAAATGATGTCGCTTATGTAACGCTTTGATGCTGACGGACACTCGTGGTGACGGTGTGCTTACAAAGCGTCTCAGTGTTTTAGTCTGAATTAGATTAGCATACTAGCAAGACAAAACTAACTTTGACTGTGTGTTGAAGCACATAGGCCAGAGTGACGACTTTGTGGAAGAGTGTCCGTCTCTTCTCCACTCTACAGGAATTCTCTGGGTTAAATATCTGTACATATTAGTTTTAATCACAGAACATTGGGTACATTTTGTGTATTACCATATATTGGTTTATTTATTTATTTAATGCAATTCTATGAATAATTTATTAATCATTCTAAATAATAATATATTTAGTAATGCATCATGTTATTATTATTATTAGTAGTAGTAGTAATTAGAATAAATGAATCACATAGATTTATTTTTATATTTATTATAAGTTCATATTATTACCTGTAGTGTTTTATGCAAGCTGCAAAACAGTTTTCTGCTCATCTGGCATTGTTCAAGTTATGTTTATTCCTCTTCTCTGATGATGTCACACTCAGACATGCATCAGATTTAGACAGTGACACTCAAGTGGCGCTGTAGGGATTCAGATTCGAAGACCACATGCCTGCGATCCTCCAGCCGGCTGTCTAAGACACTTTATTGATTTGACTCAATTATGTAGTCGATCATTGCAGTTACTGATCCCACTGTATCTGCAGCCTTTGTTTAGTTATGAGCTGCAGACTACACATAAAGATGACATGTGCGAGAATGTTGTAGAACAATAATAGTAGACGCATCCATGCACACATCTGATAAGCTGATTGCAGGACCCACAAAGACTTCCTCAAAGAGGTCCGATAGATCTCCACACTCTCTGAAATCTGGAGTGCAAATGATTGCTCATTTGTCATGCGTGAAGCCTCAGGGATGATAGTAGTGAGGAGGAGGAGGAGGGAGGAAAAGATGGACGCAGAGAGGACAACGTGGAGAAAACGAGCGAGGCAGAGAGGAGGAGGAGGAGGGGTTGATTTTGGGTAGCGAATGAACAGCCACATTAGAAAGCATGTGACTCCTGCCATGGCAAAAGCACACAGAGAGAGAGAGAGAGGGAGAGAGAGAGAGGATCTCAGTGCTGGTTAGTCTGCTGCCGCCTGCAGAAGCAACAGCACCGACAGAGGTTACGTTACACATCCATCCCTCTCACTGACACACATTAAACACTAAAGCAGAGCTAGGGCAACTAAAGCATGTCCTCTCTCTCCAACCAGCAGCCGGCCCCTCCGTTCTCCGAGTACAGTGAGCTTTGCAAAGTCCCGTCCGCGTCTCCTCCGGGTTGGGACTGGAAGCGCGAAGAGCTCGGGGCGCCGGCGGGTTTCGGAGGCGGTCATCGGGCCGCGGGGATGACGGATGAGGACAAGCTGTGCTTCTACGAGTCCCCGTCGGACCTCAGCGTCCCCGGACGAGGAGGCGTTCCGGCCAGCGTGTCGTTCGGCAGCACCGGAGACAGTCTGGAGAGCCCGTCGTCCTCGTCGGCTGCGTCTCCTGGGAAATTTGTGGCTTCGTTGCAATGCGTGACCGACCAAAACAGCAGAACAATCCTTTTGGATTCACCTGCAGGTCGTGAAGCGTTTCCGTCGCCGCTCGAACCCTCGCAACCGGCTCCGGAGCCTCCCAACTATTGTGTTATCGGCGTGGTGAACGACAGCTACCTCGCGAGCAGAGACGAGTTGATGAACGCTGAGGACAGCGAGGAAGAAGGAGACCTTGAGCCTTGTGTGATGGGACGAGCCGAACGACAGCGGAAGGCGATGAGACGAGCCATGTCCGAGTGTTCGCATCTCTCTGTGCCGGCCAGCCTCCAGCTCCCGGATAAATACCCCGGAGGAGGTGTCCTCGACGAGTTGCCGTCTCCCGTCGGAGGACCTCGGCGAATCAAACGCTCCCTCACCGTGTCCGATGATCAGCCGCCGCCGACTCTATCGGCTGGAGCCACACGAGACGACCTACGAAACGACGGCGGACTCCATTTCCCCTCGTTCCCCGCTCGCGGAGACCAAAGCAGCTTCCTCCGCTCGCCTCTGGAGGACCTGCTGGAGGATCAAGGGGTCATCCTCCCCGTGCCGGTGACAACACGTGGCCTTAATGGGACATGCAACAGCGCCGCGGACAAAACCCACACGTTTGCTGAGACTCTTGAGGGTAGGTGATGGCGAACCAGCAATCAGTTTGTAATCTGGCCTTGATTTTGATACGTAATTAGCATGATCATGGGATTTCATGTATCGCACTGGCAACGCCAAGGTCATGGGTTCGATTCCCAGGGAAAGCAATAATTGATCAAATGTAATCAAGTATGCCTTCAATGCAATGTTACTTGCTTTGCGATTAAAGAGGATGATTTATGAAAGGTTTGAGATGCATCCCATAATCATTCTTAGAAATGAAGACACTGGAAAGCATGCTCGATTCTTCTGGATATATGTGAATTTCTTGCGTTCTGTTGGTGTTTGTGTGTGTTAGCGGGAGCAGAAGTGCTGTAGGTGGTTCATAGTGTCTCCGTTGTGTGTGTGTGTGTGTGTGTGTGTGTGCGGCACCATCTCGCCACTAGCGAACGCATGCTCATTACACGCTCTGTGTTAGTAATGTATGAAACCTGCCTCTCAGCCAACTGGGGTCAGAAACTGTCCTCAACGTGCCCCACTTTAGTGAGATCCAGCTATCTACAACGCTGAACGCTCATTAGTAATTCACAGTGAGAGTGTGTCAATCGTCTAGTTGTATCCGTCTGTTAGTTGTGTTCTCGCTGGTAGTGTAAATGCACTGTACCGAAGGGGAAGCGAACAATGCCACATAAAATCACTCGCAAGATGTGCTTGAGATCAATGGAAGGTCTTACACTCTTAGGAGAAATGGTTCTATTTAGAACCAGAAATGGTTCCGTCCCCCGCTTCATATATGGAACTCCAAAATGGTTCTATATAGAACCTTTTTTTTTTTTTTTTGGTAAAAGGTTCTCTTGGCCAAGTATGGAACCCCAAGGTTCTATATAGAACGCAGAACCCTTTTTTTAAGAGTGTATTGAACCTTTTAGGGGTTCCAAATACGTAGCGCTGATAGAACCTTTTCTTCTGAGTGTAGTGTTCTGTTTGAGTTGCAGTTATTAAGGCGGGGTGTTTGTGGGTTCATGCACTGGGGTCTGTATTGTATGGAATGCGTCACAGATCCCACTTTATTTCATAATTTGAGCTTTTAATACAAAATTATCAGCTGTTTGCCAGAAAGTTGGCCAAAAAAGGTCTAAAGTGACCAGGAAGTGCTCAGAGAAATGTTGCATCATTTATGCAAAAGTAAATCAGAAGCATTGTGAAAAATCCAGTATGTTTCTATCTAGCCGGAAACTCTGAAGGTAATGTGTGCAACTGGAACTCTCTTTCTTTCTGTAGGCATTCCCCGTCACACACACACTGATGTTGTGTTCATCATGTTGAGCTGTTGTTGTTCCGCTCTCAGCGTTTTCTCGTCTGCTTTGACGTGTCATTGTGAAACTGGTGTTATTATAAAGCACCTGAGCCATGTGGAGATTCATCCGCTTAATGCAAGAGTTTCTTACAATATCTGCAATCCACCGCTGCGGTGACGGATTAACTTTAATACACGATGCAGTATTCCTGCGCGCTGGGAAGCAGCTTACAATGCTGCTGGAATATCAATGATGTTTATTTCACGCTCACTGCATTTTCAATGCAAAATGTGAAATAAATATGCAAATGAAAGTTTATTTATTGATTTGACTCTGATGCTGTCAGTGATCCCTCATCCCACTATATTTGCAGTTTTTGTGTAGTTGTGAGCTCCAGAACACCAGGACATGTTGATTCCCAAAGAGACGAGCTGCCTTTTTCACGAGCCGCCTGTAAGATATATGACCGGACACACTACTGGACATGTTACAGCTCTCGGCCTCATCCACTCGTCTAGCTCTCATTTATCACACGGCTTTCTGGGATACTTGATTCTGATTGGTCAATGGCAGGGTTCTGACGTCAAATTTATTTTCCTACATCGCTGCTTATTTCTTGTCTCTTGTATCACTCTTGAATCTCGCATAATAAAATAATTCACACTCAACTCAATGTTCATTCCATTTATTAATGAATTCATAATGAATTCAATTCATTCTTCAGTCATAGTGTAACAAGTATCATGACCTAAAAGTAAACGAAATGAAAAGGAGGTTTTATGTGCTCACATTATACCTGAACCTCAGAATGGGCTCGGGTCACTTTTTCTCTTCACTTTGTTTTCACTTTCTCTTCACTTCACTTTTGTTTGTTCATAGCAAAACAATTGTTTTGCTATGAATTGCTATATGCTTTATGTTTGTAGTTGAATCTTTAAATCTTTTCTCATGTTTTTCTGCCAGGAAACGCTGATAAGAACAAGCCGGAGGTGAACAAAATGGACAATGTCCAGAAGTTTGATGACTTTGGTGTCTTCAGCCAGATTGACCAAGATCAGAAGAGGGAAACTGTGGAGGAGAAAGACAAAACTGGACACACAGACAAACAGACAACCAAAGAAGAGAAGACAGACACTCAAGTGGACAAAAACAAAGACTTGGACAAGTCAGAGAAAACAGGCAAAGAGGAAACGGTTCCCAAAGTTGAGACGCCAGTGAAAGTTGAGAGCATTGACAAGTTGGAAAAAACGACTAAAGATGAGGCCGAGAAGGTTGAGAAGACTATCGACAAAAAAGAGACTGCAGAAAAGATTGAGTCTTCTCCAAAGATTGAGAAAGAGAAGGTGGATCCGGTGGAAAAGACTGAGATCAAGACGGATGTGGTGAAAACCGAAGAGAACAAATCAGACCAGAAAGAAGAGAAAGAGGAACATGTGAAGGAGAAAGAGGAACAGAAGACAGAAAAGGACAAAGTGGAAACGAATGAGCCAGCGGACAAGAAACCTGCCAAAGCTGAGAAGGACGAGAAAGCCAAAAAACCAACAGCGAAACCCTCAGCGGCCAAGCCTGCGGTCACCAACGGACGAGACTTGACCAGTGGCGAGAAGAAGACCAAGGTTTGTGGAAACTTCCTGTTGTCTCGTCATCCTCCACTGACGGCTGTTGCTTCTGCTAATAAGTTCATGTCCTTAAAGCTTCTTAATGCCAAAACCAAATTCATTCATCTCTCCTGTAGGGTTGGAGATCATCATCTCATCCCTATATGACCAAGCTAAAGGAGGAGGTCACTTAACAATTAAAACTTGCTGATTATTTACTCTCCCCACGTCATCCATGACTTTCTTTCTTCACTCAAAAAAATAATAATTAGAAAGTAAACATTTCAGAATGACGTCAATGGGGTCCAAGTTTCAGTGCAGCTTCAAAAATTACTAAATAAAAAGAAACATTCATATACTTTTTAACCACTAATGCTGGTCTCTGTGATGGTCCACGCATTACGTAATCAGGTTGAAAGGTCAAGCAGTCGGATGTACTGAACGTGCGAAGACCAAGTCAAACGCCATTTACAACTAAATAAAGAAGGTAAAACAACAGTTTTGACGTTGGAGGAGAAGCTGAGATGGTGTTTTTCACCGTACTCTACATTTGCCTTCTTACATTTTGAACCGGAACACAAGAAAAGCATTTGGGGTTAAAAAGTATTGATTTGTTTATAAAATGGCGGATAGTTTGTCTTGATCAGACTCTTGTTCTTCGGCTGGATCGTGTCGAGACACTGAAACTCACATCTGACCTTCGACCTGTTGGACCCCATTGAAGACACTATATGGTTCCTCAAAAACCATAATTTGTTTTCGACTGAAGAAAGAGACGCATAAACATCTTGGACGACTAGTAAATGATCAGATGTTGTTTTTAATTCTGAAGTGACCTCAATGTTCCCTGATGTAAAATTTGATCTTTAGTCAGCCTGCTCTGCATTTATCATTACCGCTGCCGTTATCATTTATCCTTATTCTATTTTTTGTTCATTTGCCGTCCATCCGCTGGGTTTGCTGTCCATCCATGCAGCCTGTCACAGGGTCAATCAAACCCAGTTCTACCAAGCCCAGACCCAGCTCGACCTCCACCGCCCCCAAACGCCCGACCTTGACCTCCAGCGCACCCGCTCCCCTCAGCAAAAGAGCCCCAGTGCCCAAAGCCCCCGCCCCGGCCCCGCCCACCAAACGACCAGCTACGGCATCCACACGACCCTCCACCGCGACCAGCACCGCGGCCAGAGAGGTCAAGCCCAAGGTGAGTCTCGAATCATGTGACCGAGACCACGTCCGAAGGTCAAGCTGCTCAGTCCGGCTCTCCTCTCTGTTTGTGTGGGCTTTCATGCTTGACCACTTCATCTTTATTTTAGTTTGCATTGTGCAATTTTCTTCTTTCTCACCGAGGCTGCATTTATTTGATCAAAAATGCAGGAAAAAATGTGAAATATTATCAGAATTGATTCACTCTTTCATTCACTTTTTCTTTCTCTTTTTAGAAAGTTCAATTGAGTTCAGCATTTAATTGAAATAGAATCTTTTGTAACATTAGAAATGACTTCACTGTCACTTTTGATCAATTAAATGCATCCTTGATAAATATATATTTTCATTAATCTTACTGACCCCTAAGTTTTGAACTGTTGGGTGGATTATTGTAGATTATGTTTTTGGGTGTGACACACTCGGCCGTTGTTCTTGATAAATATGAAGAATATTCAGTTCAAGTGTTCCCTCTAGTGGCCGTTTGGTAACATCACTACTTCCTTCCTAAAATCAGTATTTGACTAGTGAAATTAAGGAATATTAATATGTACAATCAGGGCACTAGAGTAACAATCAGCAAATGTAAAATCATTAACCATCATGATTAAAACACACATTAAACGCTGGATTCTCCTCACAAGGGTATTTATTAAGAAATATGACTTAATCCACAATTAAAAGAGTTTTTTGTTGCTGTTTTAAGTTGGTATTTATTACTAGATTCTCAGAGGAAGAGCAAAAATAGCTAAATATATTTGGATGAAACTTCTCTGGGTTGTTTACTAACATCCACAAATTATTTGAGTGAATCTTCTGAAATGGACCTTTCCCATCATAAGATGTTTTTTTCCTCCAACAGACGGCCACAGAGAAGCGCCCACTTGTGCCAAAAGCCACTGCCGCTCCGGCTCGACCCGCGACTGACAAACCTGCGCCCGCGACACGCACCGCGACCACGCCGCGCACCGTAGCCAGCGCTCCTGCAGCACGACGCCCGGGTCAGTCCAACCAGTCACGGGTCACACGGGTATACTTGTGGCTCTAGCCCAGAATACATTGCATGGCTCAAAATTATCCATTTTTCTTTTATGCCAAAAAACATTAAGTCAAATTTCAAGATTTCCTACATGTAAAACATGTATTTTTGTGAGTGTATGCAGCAATATCGCGAACATAAATGCACAACTTTAAAGGAGATTTTCTCAATGTTTGGATTTTTTTGCACCCTCAGATTCCAGATGTTCAAATAGTTGCATCTCAACCATAAATCTCAATTTAAAAAAAAACTAGTTTTGTGGTCCAGGGTCACATATATGATGTATTTAAAGATGAGGCACTGCATTTTGTGCTGATTTAAGAAATGCTAGGAATATTCACGATGCATTTCTATTTTAGCTGCAAAGACGGAGAGCAAAGCAGGAGACGAGAAGAAACCAAGCACACTGAAACCTACAGGTACGGCAAACGCAGAACCACCCAGAACCTCATGTCTGATTACAAACGCTTTTGCTGCATAATGTTTTTGATGAAACTGTGATAAACTACCTTTCAAAAGTTTGGGGAAATTAACCATTTAAGAAGATAAATAATTAATACTTTTAATAGTACTTTAATACTTAAGAAATAATTAATACTTTTACTCATCAAGCATACATTAAACTGATCAAAAAGTGACCGTAAATGCATTTATGATGCTAAAAAATATTACATTTAAAAAAAAAAATCCTGAAAATAAAATGTATCTCCATTTTAATAATCATAATTGTTTGTTGATCATCAGATCCTCATATTAGAGTGATTTCTGGAGGATCATGTGACTCTGAAGACTGGAGTAATGATGATAAATTCAGGAATAAATGACACTTTACTGTATATTCACATAGAAAACAGATGATTAACAATGGAATAATATTTCACAATTTTTGCTGTATTTTTGATCAGAGCAGAAGAGACTTTTATAGCAAGCTTTTGACTAGAAGTGCATGTGTGGGAATATTAAAATCTTAAGAATATTCAAGATAGCGACTTAAAGTATTAGTGTAACCATTAACAGGTAAAAGATGCAGAGATGCTACGCTCAAAAAAACACACTAAAATCCATGAACAATCTCTTTAAAATGTACGAGTGAATTGGGCATCAGGAATGAGTTTGGGATAATCCCGCACACACACACACACACACACACAGAGCTTTGAGCCGAACGCAGCGCGGCAAGAGATTATTTTAATCTGACGCATAAAACAAGGTTTAAAGCTTCAAAACTGAACATTCGGATATCGCTCAGAAACGGGATCTAGTGCTCACTTATGCACACCCGTTATAAAGACTGACAGGACAAGTTCTTCTCTTAACTTTCTGTGTGTTTAAAGTTGAACTCCATCCCCAAACATGTGCTTTTACCACAGACTGTAAAATAATTATGAGTGTAGTGTCCGTGACGTCACCCGTATCGCCATCTTGGCAGCGTCACTCCCGAATAAACGAACATGTGCCGAGGCGAATTAGCCGAGCAGAGGAGACGCTAACACACAGCAGTGACATCACCTGTCACTCAAGCGGCCACGCCCTTAATTATGCAGAACTTTAATGCTTAATACAATTTAGACGGATGAGTTATAATAAAAATGCCCCCCCCACAGTCGTCATGAAGAGCAACATTAGCGATATAGACCGAAACCACTTTTAACTCCAGACTGTAAACATGTTTAATTCTGCTGTAAAGTTGGGCAGTTTAACATGCGGGTCAATGGGAGTGAGTCTCTCTAGTGGCCAGTGGAGGAACTGCAGGTGAACTGACTCAGTGCTGGATTCAAGAGAGGGTCGCTAATCTGAGGTGATGTAGTGTATCCCAGTGTTTAACTGACCTCACATCTTTAGTTTCAGATGCTGCCCGCTCTAAACCCGCACCGCTCAAAGCCCCCAGCGCCACCAGTCGCCCTCGACCCACCAAAACCCCCGTTCCCAGCAGCACCACAGCCGAGAAGAAGCCGCTGGTTCCCCGCGCCGCCCGACCCAGCGCCGCGGCCCCCGGCACCACGACTCGACCCAGCGGCGCCCCCCGACCCAGCTCCGCCTCCACACCCGCGCCCGACATCAGAAACATCCGCTCCAAGATCGGATCCACAGACAACATCAAACACCAGCCCGGAGGAGGGAAGGTCAGAACACACACACTCTTCATCCTGGACCAGTTTAGCCCAGTCTGATTCGTACAGCAGGGGTGTAGCGATACCGACACAGATCACGATTCGGGATTACTCCACGACACATGATAAAACTTGAACAAGAAATGCACTGATGATCATTGAAATGCTAGATTTGGTTTTACATTGTGGCTGTAAATAAGTAGTCAATTTATTGAAATGATAATATTTCTAAAACAAGGGGAATACAGTCAATCAAAACATTGAAATCCATAAATAATTAAGATTACAATTCTGCCTCTTGTACATCTAATACATCAAGTATCCTTCGTAAAAGCTCAAGTCGGTGGAAAAAAGTCTACCATTTGGATCAGTTAACATACATTTTGCTTTATGTATATTTCCCAAATAAATGTAGAATTTTAGTTACATTATCTATTTCCAATAAACCGCTATCACAATCCATATACAAGACCATTATATCAGTTATAGGTAAAAACAAAGCACAGACACCACAATACCAATACTCATGATTCTGAAGATGAAACACAGATTATTGAAGATGAATATGATGATGATCTCTATCACCGACTAGATATATTTATAATAATGTCGGCCACTAGGTATCTGCCTTCATCAGGACCCACAAATATTCCCATTATTATACATTATATTCAACATTATATATAGTAGTTTAATTTAGGACCGACACTAAAACTTGAAATTTTCAACATTTCATTTTCCGTATTGTGGGTGAACTATACATAATACATATTGTTGCATTTTGTTTTGTGATGTGTTGTGACACGATATATTGTTACACCCATACTGTACATTATTATTTATATTTTATTATCCGTCAGTAACACTGTGGTATCTTGAAATGTATTTATATATCTCAGAGTACTGTATAATTACCATGTTCATATACCAATGTATTTACATCATACTCCAATACAAGTAAGTACAACAACAATCAACATTGTCCAAAAAAACTAGTAATATCAAGAGTCGGGGACAAATGAGGTATTAATAAGGGGATTATTCTTATGGACACGAGCCAGTTTGAGAGGTTTCTCTTCACCGCGGTCATCCTCAGTTTGCTGATCTGAACTGCCTTATTCATGACAATTACAGGCAGCGTCCAGAGGCAGAAACACATCACCATTAATATTAATATAATGATATTAAAATATGGTTGAGTATATTTCATATAAATATTAAAACACTATATCTATATCTAATAATTGAATATATTATATATAATAAATATTCTAGATATTGTATTTGTATATTTTTATAAACGTAAATGTAAAAAAATATATTGAAATGTACTTAAATATTTACTAGATGCTTCGTTCACTGCCCACATCCCTAAATGAGTTTGTGAATATAATCTAAAGGGTATTGCGGTCTCTAAATGCCCAAACGCTGCCTGTTGAGTCACTTCCTTTGGTTCTGGACACAGACGTCCTGATCAGCAGATGTGCAGATGACGAGTGTGTATATTGAGCTCCAGTCTTCATAATCATTCTTGCTCACTCACGTCCTGCTGATGTCATCGCTTCACCTTCTGGTATCGCATCTCTCCCACCGTGTTTGTTGTTGATCCTGGTCTTTCTCCTGGCTGAGCTCTCTCTGTGACTCGCTAACACTCGTCACCACAGTAGTCGTAGAGTATCGCGCCGCGGTTGTAAAGCAGCATGATGATGTTTCACCCGCATGTCCGCAGTGTGTCTAACGGGACTGTCAGTAACCCGCCCGGTTCCCGTCTGCTCCTCCTGATCCTGCAGTGTTTCACTTGCGATTACAGTAGGATGTAGGCCGTAGATGAGTGTGATAGAGCCGTTTCCACACATGTGAGTGACTGGAGCGGTGTATCTGCAGGTCACAGTGTCTCAGAGCAGGACGGACACACACACCTCGCTCTCCAAAGAGACCAGCCAGGGCAAAGTGAGTTCAACCCATCAGCCCATCACACACACACACTCATGCCTCTCACTGTCTCTCCAAACTCACATTCTCTGCTCAACAACACACTACAGTAGCTTTAGGAAGTGTGTGTGTGTGTGTGTGTGTGTGTGTATTAGGGGTTCAAGCACAAAGTGCTGAAACCCTATTGTTATTATTTTTATTTATTTTTTTGTGTGTGTATGTTTGTTTCAATATATTTATTATAAATAATAAAATATAATATTTATTGTATATTCATTAAAATAATATATATAAATTACTAATTAATATATTATTTTATATTGAAGTATTATATTATATTATAATATTTTATAGTGTTTTAATTGTTGTAATAATTATCTTTTTTAATTTGCAAAAAGTATATAATTAATAATTATTAAATATATATATACACATAATTATTATTTTATATAATATTTTAGTATTAAACTTTTAAAGAATTTAGTATATTTTATATAAATATTAAAATATTGTAATGGATTAATAATTTATATTTTCGGTTTGTAATGTTGAATTAATATATAATCTGATCTTGTTATCAGCCGTTAAATAAATATTTATTTATTTATTTATTTATAGAAATAATGTACACAAATGTTGAGTAAACACATTAATAAACAGAGTAAAATTTATATTTGTTAAAAAAATATATATTATTCTGTTACAAAATTAGATCTTATTGTCTGGGGTCCAATAGACCCCGAAGACCACAAGTGTGACTTTTTTTTGAAGACCATCAGAGGGTTAAAAAAACACTCATCTTTCCATCTTTCCTTCTGGAGATCATTTGTTTTTTTATCTAAATATTATATTTTATTAGTGTTTGTCATTCATAAATCCTCTACCTCACATCAGGGATCCTCAAATTCTCTGTTTCGGGCCAGTAAATCAAATAATAGATACTGATAATAATAATAATAATACTTATTCAGTCTTAAAATGTGCAGTAAACAGCAATAATTGAAATGTGCAAGACTCTCACTGTAGTCAGGATTGTCTACAATAGATGATCAATGAGGCACTCGCTGCTATTGTGAGTGTTTGCGGATTGATGGATGATAATGGGAGTATTGTTATATGCCATTCAAAGATGTTCTCGTTTGGTGAGGGTGGAGGATTTGAGTATCCCTGCATCCCAGTGTTCATTGCTAATCTCCATGTTCAGTTAACGGGGCTAACGTTCACACTAAGACTGTCGAGGCGCACTGCATTAATGGGGTGTAGTTGCTTCTAGATGCTTCTGCTTGTGGTGTCCTCTGTTGTCTGTCCTCTCTAACCTGCTCCTCCCTGGTGTCCCGCCCCTCCCGGCCCGCCGTGCTCTCTTATAGGTTCAGATAGTCTCCAAAAAAGTGGACTACAGTCACGTGACTTCCCGCTTGGGCTCCAAGGACAATATCAAACATATTCCTGGTGGAGGGAACGTAAGTAACGATACTGCATGCGGTGTAGTCACCCATCATTCTGTCCAATCAGACGCTTTCTTCGCTTATGAACAAATAAGAGCGGGAGGAACGTTGATTATCCCAAATCCAAAACAACATTATGAGCCAATCACGGTGACAGCAGAGGTTTGGATTCCTGACGTTTGTTCATAATCTGCTGCGTTTGCTCTCTGAGATCTCACTTGTATTCGCTCGAGAGTTTGGAGATCGGCTCATTGTTTGGTGTTCGTCGTCGTCAGCTCTGCATGTCTCTTTATTTGGGCCCTGAGCAGCTTCTCTGGTCGGATCAGACGAGTCTGTTTCTCCACAGGTCCAGATTCTCACCAAGAAGGTTGACTTGAGTAAAGTGACCTCCAAGTGTGGATCCAAGAGCAACATCAAACATAAACCAGGTATGAAGAGAGCGAAACCACGTTAGTTCCTCCTCGAGCTTGCTTTAAACGGGTGTTGATTAGCTTTAGTGAGTGTGTAATGTTGCTGTTTGAGCATAAACAACATCTGCAAAGTTACAATTCTCAAAGTTCAAAGCAAAGGAAGATATTTGCTTTTAAAGAAATGTTTAAGGGCTACAACAAACCTAGAATTTGCATAAACCCCGCCCCCAGGAATGTGATTTATAGATTATCATCATGACAGAATATGCTAATCAATGACTATAAGATAACTCCACATCAGCTACATAAATGCATGAGTGTGTGTGTGTGTGAGGTAAAATCACACAAGCTCTTGTAGCTCCGCCCCCTGAGCCGGAAGCAGCAGCTCATTTACATTTAAAGGGACGGACACAAAAACTGCCTTTTTTCAAAAAGTGACAATTTTAACATGCTATATAAAAAAAATTTTGAGCTAAAACTTCACACACACACTCTGGGGACAGCAGAGACTTGTTTTAGACCTTGTGAAAAGGACATAATAGCAGCGTTTTAAGCGATCGGTTTGCATGTTTGATGATTGTCTGTAGGTGGAGGCGAAGTCAAGATCGAAAGCCATAAGGTGAACTTTAAGGACAAAGCTCAGTCCAAGGTGGCATCGATGGATAACGTCAATCACGAGCCCGGCGGCGGGAACGTCAAGGTGAGACTGCGGGAAGATCCGGATCACACTGAAACCTTGCAGTGAACGTCCTGCGTGTAGATTAAAGTGATCCTGCCGCTTTATTCCACATTAGTTCAGACATTTTTAAATAAAAACATCGCTAACACTATTTTAAGACGACGTAGTTATGTTACTAAACCAAACCCTAACGGTAACTCTACAGTACGTATGTAGTGTGTTTAAAGGAATAATTCACCCCAAAATGATTTGTTTTGTAATAATCTTTCCTCTGTCGCACCCTCATGTTTTTCCAAAATAATTAATTAAACATAAAAGATGATGTTCATCAAGTAGTCTGTGACTCCAGCATCGTATTAGCAGTCCAGATTTGCTATATAGTGAAAAAAGTACAGTCACTCACATAAATCTATATGTATATATAGCAAATCTAGGCTGCTTTATTGTTTATATTGTCACAGAGTGTAACTACTATATATTGTCGTTGAGCTCTAATCTGAGAAATGTTACTAAAAGGCATGAAGATATTAAGATCATCGTGCTTTGAAACTATTGTGAAAAGCACTGTATAAAACCATTTGACTATTGAAATCTACTGAAGTCATGTTCTAGATTTATGAGGAACAGATTCTTAAACTCGTTCATCCGAGTGTGAATATTGCACACAAGCACAAGAGAGATTAGAACGACACTGTTCCTTTAAAAGCTTAAGCTTGCTGTATTACTGTATATATCAGTGGTAAGTACAGAAAACTTTTAAACATGTCTTTGATCAATGTTATTTTTCATGTTTTTTTTTGTTTTAAGTCCATGTGTTTTTTCTGTGTTCATTCCAAACTCAAAACAGTCACTTATTATACGTGTGTGTGTGTGTGTGTGTGTGTGTGTGTATAGACACACACACGGATTATGCTTCGTTTCTCTGGTATGTCAGGCAACAGAAAGACTAAATTGGGGTTCTCATTGGTTCTGGTTTGTTTCCAAACGTACTGTGTGATTATGATGTCACCTGCCCCTCAGCCTATGGCCATCCAGTCACATGACCACTCGCTGTGCCCATTGTTGTTTTAACCATCATCCACATTTTGATCACACCGATACGGTTTTTAAACTTTACCATATACGTTTACTGCGAAAACAATGTGCATTTGAGTCTTTTGACTAAATCTGTAATTAACATTAAACTACCTTTAATGAAACATTATATTGTAGAATATTTTATTTTAGATGAAGACTTTATCAGGACTGTAGTTTTAGCCCTTGCTGACAAGTTTATAATGATTGAAAAATTGCACATGTGTATTAAAAATACATGCATTTTAGTGATTAACGGGCATGTCCATCTGCATGGGATTCATTGCCATTCAATTCATGTTATGTAGAAATTAAAAGTCCATATACATTCGTGAGGTTCTTTAGCCATGATTTTATTGATTACTCCGTTTTAATGTTTTGCTTTGTTTTCTGCATGGATATACATATTCATATTTTAGAATAACCGTATTGACCAAAAACACTCAGGACAAATCAACCAGACTGATTACAATCTTAATTTAGTGACGCTACAGAACTAATTTCACTCATTTTTAGCAGATCATTTCAGTCCAGTGCCTCCAAACTGGTCCTGTATGTCCGCCATCTTGCTTCTCCATGGGTTTTGATTTGTGTAGCGTAGAAGCACACACACTCATCCGCATCTCAGCGCATCTGTGGTATTGACCCTGCTGTGTGTTTTAGGCTGAGGGTGCGCAGGAGACTGAGGAGGGTAGCGCGGCTCCCTCTAGTGGTGTCTCGGCCCCGGCCCAGGAGAACGGGCTGAAGGAGGCCGGCCCCTGCAGGAGTGACGAGCTCCGGGACCCTCAGGGCCTGGACTCGCTCATCCCTGAAACAAGTAAGTGTGTGTGTGTCAGTGCCCGGCCCAAGCCCCTCAGACTAGAGCTCCTGTAGAAATGCCAGATCCCATCCCCTCATTTACAGCTCAATATTATGTTTTTCCATCATCTCATACACACTATTAGTTTGTTTTTTTTAGTTTATTCTTAATTTTAAGCGCCATGTCAATTGTGTTATTTCATTGTCTGGTTTATTACTGTACGAGAGGTCGACCAATTATGAATTTAAAACCAATAATGAAAGATGTTTAATTGGCTAATAGTTTTTATAATCAAAACCATTGAATGTGTCATTTATTTATTTTTTAGGTTCAATCATAATATTGAAAAACATTTAAGTAAAATCTAAATATTGGTTGAAAACATTTAATGTATCCTTTAATTTCAAAATATTTAAGAAAGTTTAAAAAGTGAAAAAAAAAATTGAAATTAAAACATTGTAACCATTGATTTTTTTCCCCCAAATAAATTCAAAACATTGAATAAAAAGCTTACATTTATTAAGTAACATTTTATATTTAAAGTAAAAAATCGATATATTGAATAAAACTTTGAATTTAACATTTTACTTTAAAAATAGCATTACATTCAATGTTTTATGTAAAAATTCTATTTCACTTAAATACAAAATATTGAATAATATTTTTAAAGTAAAATCAAAACAATAGAACAAAACATTGAATAACATTTTTTTTACTAAATTGTTTTTATTCAATATTTTGATTTTACTTTAAAAATGTTATTCAATATTTTGTATTTAAGTGAAATAGACTTTTTACATAAAAACATCGAATGTAATGCTATTTTTAAAGTAAAATGTTATTCAATGTTTTTGAATTCACTTCAAAATATTGAATAAAAAAATTCAATGTAACAACTTAGAAATACTACATGCAAACGTTGAATTCACTATTTTAGATTGAAACAAACACTAAATAATGTTTTTAAGTAAAAATCAAAATATTGAATGTAACATTTTACTTTAAAAATGGAATTACATTCAATGTTTTTATGTAAAAATTCTATTTCACTCAAATACAAAATATTGAATAAAAACAATTGAACAAAACATTGAATACATTTGTTTTTATTCAATATTTTGATTTTCAAAATATCATTCAGTGTTTTATTCAGTGTTTGCATGTAGTCTTTCTAAGTTACTTAAATAAAATGTTACATTGAATTTTTTTACTCAATATTTTGAAGTGAATTCAAAAACATTGAATAACATTTTACTTTAAAATATAATGTTTTAAGTCAAAAGATAAAAACACTGAATGCAACGTTCCATTTTTTTTTTTTAAGTAAAATGGAAATAGTGAATAAAACATTAAAAATGGCATAATTTGTCCCAAAGAAATTGAGTATGTGTGTGTCGATTCATAAGCGTGTCGACCTCTGTGTGAAAGTGATGTTTGAACGGGGCAGATCTCTGATGACCACCAAACCGTGTTGACCTCTTCTTATTTTTCAGGCCTCTAACTCGACTTTTTGCTATCGCTCTTCCCTCTTCATCTCGCCCCCCTCCGCTTCCTCTCCTCCCCTGTCCTGTCTTTCTCCACACTGATGCAGATTGAGTCTTTCAAGCTAAATTTCCGCGAGAACGCCCGCTCTCGCACGGACCACGGCGCTGACATCATCACCTGGCCCGTCTCGAGTGACAGTCCTGTTTTCCACAGCGCCGACTCCCTCATCCCTCGCTCTCTCACCACCCCGGCCCTCGCCCCCTCACCAGAACAACGGGGCCAGGTCGGCTCGCTCCACGACCTCCGGACGTGACCTCGGCTGCTCCCTAAACCCCGCCTCCCACCATTGCTAAGACTCGTATGATTGGTGTGCTGTCATTGGTGCAGTCATCAGGATGGATTGTGAGTGAAGTCGTCGGTCTGGACGGGGTCAGCTGAGGTCACGGCTAACAGCCACAGCACCTGCGACGCCACTTGTTGTAGAGCATGAATCTAGTTTAGGTGCTTTCGTTTCTTTTTTATTAGTGTTGCAACTCGGTATTCATGATCATGATGTAGCTGAGGTGATCACCCCCCCCCACACACACACACACACACACACATCTGGACATCATCTCTCGCTGTCTTCAGGTCCTCCGGGGAAGATCGCACTCATGATGAACGCGGCGCTTTATAAAATCACGTTCAGAAGCTTCTCTTAGTGACAAAGCATCAAAATGAAGAGCAAAGAATGTGTGCAACTGGTGCGCTTTATAACTCTAACGACGCCACAGAGCATGATGGGAAATGTAGTTTGGTTGCATTAAGGTTTAAGACACACTAGAATTCAATGAACACGGCATCCAAAGTGTAGAAAAAATACGCAATCCTCTCAACTTTACTTTTTAAAGTTCATGTCGTCTTCTGTATCGTGCACACGTCTTTATAAGATTCAGATTCACCAAACTTCATGCAATTCACATTTGCGTATTCTGTCTGAATGGACGTCATTGTTGTGTGACCGCTTCATTGGTCAGCTATGGGCAGCACACTGGTTAAAACACACACTCTTCAAATGGCTGATAAAAGCTTCGTCGTCTCGTAAGCACCATCATTCCCGCGGGATTTGAAGGCAGCATCATGTGACCCTCTCTCACTTCACCTTTGACCTCCTGTAGAGCTGAAACTGAATTTCTGAACCTCTCTGTAAAACTCTGTTTCGTGATGCTGTGTTTGAGTGAGTACTGTGTTGTTAAACTCTTCGCATCCTTTCGTTTTATTTTCGTGAGCGGCGGATGTTTCCTTTTCTTTGTTATTGTAAAGCAATATAACGCTCTCCTAAAACGCCTATAAGACGTTAAACTCGACGCACAGTGACGGACGCTCGTCGTGTCAAGCGCAGGTCCAGACGGCTTCGTGAAAGTGAAGAAGGGCTGAGATGTGACGAAAGAGAACCTCCTGAAAAAGAAGTGCACTTTAGTTCAAAAATAGAAATTAAAGGTGAGTTTCTTGACGCACAAGTTTGTAATAATAAGTACATTTTAAATGGTATTGCCATTCTTTAATGAAGTTTTTTTTTAAGTCTTGACAAGCATACAAAAGCACATGTAAAGTACTTGATCACTTTAACTGTAGTGTTTTATTCAGTATATACGGTCTTGTCAACTGTACACTTTAATCTTATTTCAAAGACAATACCAATTATATTGAACATAATGGCTCAACTAACTGCATTTAAAATCATTTATTGTACATTATTTAAAGGAGTAGTTCACTTTTGAAAAAACTTTTGTCCATGTCTTTCTTTCTTGAAGGTTTTTGATGAAAACATTCCAGGATTTTCTCCATATAATGGACTTCAATGGGGACCAAACGGCTCAAGGTCCAAAAGACAGTTTCAGTGCAGCTTTAAACGACTCCAGATGATGAATAAGGGTCTTATCAAGTGAAACGATCAGTCATTTAATCAATAAATAACAAAGTTTAAGTTTTATAAGCTCAAACGCTCGCCTTGCTCTGTTCTGTGACGCGCGTTCGTGACTCTCCTGTTCCAACTCGTTCATCAAAATGAACGAATCTTTTTCTGAGTCATTTGGTTCATTCAACGAACGAAATAAACGAATTGACTTGGAATTGACACTGAAACTACACTGACAAACATTTGCACTGAAACTGTCTTTTGGACCGTTTGGTCCCCATTGAAGTCCATTATATGGAGAAAATCCTGGAATGTTTTCATCAAAAACCTTCATTTCTTTTCGACTGAAGAAAGAAAGACGTGGACATCTCGGATGACACGAGGGGTGAGTAAATTATCAGCAAGTTTTTTTTAAAGTGAACGACTCCTTTAAGTTGACACTTGAGTGTGTGGATATTCAGTTTGCAGTAATTTGGTTATTAGGTCCTCTTTTAAAAGTGTACTTCTTTTTCACCGAGGTCTTGAATCTGCCGGAGATTATGGTGTTTCTGTCATGAGTTGTTGATGTTTTTTTGGCATCATGTACAGCAGGTACGGTGTGTGTGTGTGTGTGTGCCGAGTGTGTGCCTGGGACGCTAGACTCTTCTACGGTAATTCCCTGCCTTTAATGTGTGCAAAGACTGAATGTCGCAGCTTTTACGGACTTTTAATAGTTGCTTTACGAGAAAGCAGTGAACGTGAGTCTGGTGCTGGTTTTAATATTACTGCGAATGTCTCTGCTGGTCTTTTTTAAGAGTAAGAGTAACTTTGCATCATCACGCGAGTGGAAAGCTTGTCGCTGATTTCTTATTTTCCGTTTATCTCTTTTAAGGTTCCCATCGGCAGTGCGGAGACGCCACACAGACCTCCTCTTTATGAGTATGAAGCTTTGCTGCGTATGTTTCTTATTCTCGTCTGACCTCTTTAATCCCAGAACATGCAAAGCAATAAGACTGTCCTTATGACCACATCAAGCATGACGGCGCGTTAAGATCAAGACATGTGCCGTGATTGGTTGAAATAGTTGGCAAGTGCATGACCATGTTAGGAAAGAGAGAGAGCTTCTGTGAAATAAGATCTGAATATAGTTTTAGAAAACGAACTCAAGTAGAACAGTGTGACTCATTCGCATTCAAAATAATTGACCTATGAACTGGGAAAATGCCGAAACAATGGTTCCGTTTATTTACTGATTGATGATTTTGGGCAATAATGGATATTATTTATACAGTCTAAAAAATTCTGGGTGGTTTCAATATGGACAAACCCAACCTGAATATTTGTCCATATTTGACCCAATCCGAATTTTTTTGTGTGGTCTTTTTTTTTTCTTTCCAGGAAACGAGAGGTGTGTGTGTGTGTGTGTGTGTGTGTGTGTGTGTGTGTGTGTGTGTGTGTGTGTGTGTGTGTGTGTGTGTGTGTGTGTGTGTGTGTGTGTGTATATTCATATTTGAGCTGTGTTCGGCTTTTGAACACTATGGGTTGCTTTCTTTAAGGTCCTGTAATGGTGTTTTTGGTTTGATTCGCTGATTGAACCCCGAGAACAATCACAGGATCGTTTATATTCTTCACATGCATTTACAGTTGCTCTCCGCAGTGTTAGCAGATGGTTGTATTGCTATCTCTGAGAATACATTTAATACTGGCACAAAAGCGAACGCAATGATAAACGATCAAAGAAAGCGAGGGCTGATTTTACGCACCTTTAATTGCTAATGTCTATATGATTATTGCCGTTTTGGCCCTGCATTTTTTCCAGTGAAAATGCAGAGAACAAATGTCTTGAAATCTATTAAAGCACGTGTATTGGGCCGCCCTGTCTTTAATGGTGTGGCGAGATCGCTAGCGCTAATGCCCAGATGATGCCAGCGGGGTCACGTGACGTTCAGACGGGCATCGATATTTAGCCCATGTTCTCTTAACGTCTACTAATAATGTTTCTGAATCTCACATAACCCCTTATGTTTCTATAGTCTTACAAGAGGAATATGCTTTGAATAACACTGTCAGAACTAAAATGGGGGGGTTGCATTGAATGTGTTTCAATTGCACAGATTTTATTGTGCCATGAAGGACCAGGGCATCCCGTTGAATCAGGGAGAGGAGAGGTCCAATTATTGTTGTTATGATGATGATGATTTTTTTAATTATTTTATTATCTGGGAGTAATCTGGGAGAGTTGTTGCCCTGGAACAAAAAGATGTACAACCCTAAAGTAACATGGAAGCTAAAGAAACGTGACATTAATGTAGTAGATTGGGTTTCTGGTGATGCAGTAACCAGGTCAGACTGTTTGCCAGACTCTCATCATTTGCAAGGTTTTTGTTGGTTTGTTTCCTTTGTTTTTGAGTTTTTCCATGAAAATTGAATTTCATTATATTTTTGATTTGAATGAGGTGTTTATTGTGGTTAATTGTTAACTATGATGTGATTATTAAACATAAAATAAAGTGTTTAAAACATACTTGGTGGTGTTGTTTGTTTTTTAATATATTAAAGCAAAATACATTTGGCACATTACATGCTTTACATCTTTGTTTGAAGATGTTATTAATTGATTTTATGCATTTTTAATTTTAGATTTCGGAACATTCATTTTGCTTTTACATTCATAAAAACTGCCTTGTGCCAAGAAAAATTGCTTTGATTTATTTATTAGAGATGAACTGATTATTATTCATTCATCATTACGTTATATTTGATGACATCTTTTCGCAGCATTTTTTTTGTGTCTAAATCTTTTTACATACTAGTTTGCAGGTTCGTTATTTCAAGTATCTTGGAAAAGTTGCCAGTGATGTAATGATCACTGCGGGTTTATTTTTATCCAGTGTGTTAGTTTTGGTTTGCTCAGAGTATTTCACATAAATACAAAAAAATATATATATATATATTTTGACAGCTGAAAGTTACGATTTTTTTTTTTGTGCCATGCATGTGTATTTTCCTCATATTAAATATAAAACGCATGGATCTATAAAAAGACGCTTCAATATATTGGTATTATGCATTTTCTGATCATTTATATTTGAAGATATGACTGCAAATGTCACGTCCATAACGCTGGAATTGCCCAATTTATTCTGTTATCTTTGAAATGTTGCTCTCGGTTGGGAAACAGTATTGTCTTCTACTATAGTGTCATAAAAGTGTCATTTGTTGTTGTTGACAAGCGATCCCCGACCCGAACTCTGCTGAAGGAAACAGTTCGTCTCTCGTGGGCAGACTCCAGTGTTGCGTGTCTAATGTCTTCATCTCAGGTACATTGCCATATATTCCAGCATGTCTTATGAATATGAATATTGTGTCATGTGCTTTATTTTTATCAAACGACAAAAGATTGCGTAGCTCACGTTTACAAGCCAGCGCCTTTATAGTAACGTTAACCTATTGGCTAGTGGCTACTGCTTTACATAATGATATGCTAATTCCTTGCTAATATCGTCAATATTATAATATGAATCTGCAAATTTTAAAAAATCGATTTGCATGATAGCCTGAGGCAAGACACTTTGACCAGAAAAATAAATAACGACCATGTCTATCAGCCTGCATATCAGTTTATCCGTAATCATGTTTTATTTACTTCCAAGAATGTGGCCCCGCCCCCTGGCGCGAGCTCATGCCCATGCTCGAGTGTGTTAAGCGCCCTTAAAAGAAAGCAATGCAGTCTACAGTACATGAGGGACGAAGCTTCACAACACATTACCCTGCAATAGATATGTGTTTTAATCATATTTAAGTGATAGATCTGTAAGAAACGGCTCAGTGACATCACCGTCACGAGTGTTTTCTGTGGGAGTTTCAGGGCAGCATCTTACGGTCCTTTACTTTTCCTACATTAATGATCTTCCTAATGTGTTTGATTTTTCTAGTACTTTGTTATATGCTGATGACACTTGTCATTTTTTTGTCTGGCTCAAATATTGACACAATTAACTACAAACTTAACACAGACCTGCAGCATTTACATGATTGGCTCCAGGATAATTTAACACTGAATAAACAGAATGTATGTATTTTTATCCATCTAGGAAACAACTACCTATATGAAATTTCATCACCTTTTCTAATCAAAAACTTTCAACTGTATCCACGTATAAGTATCTGGGAGGCTCTCTTGACTCACATCTTACTTATATCGTGACCATGTCCAAATTTTAACCAGAAAGGTAAACGCGAGTTATTTCTTTATAGTAAAATTAGACCAAATTTGCTGCATTCTGTTTCTAAAACATATCTTCATGCCATTATATTGTCCACTATTATATATTGTCGTATTGTTTACCTGTTTGGTCACTCACAACACATGAGATCCTTGAACCTGTAGCGAGACTCTACAGTAGAGCCTGTAAGATCCAGGCTGGACTCGCCACTGTGTGTGTTGCGCTATCTTTGAGTAATGCCTTGACATTTCAGAACAATACAATAAGCCATGGTTTGAACCTTTTTTATCAGATCTTAAATGGACACACTACTGCAGGATTGACTGCGCTGGCTCCTAAACTCAGTTCAAGGCCCGAACGCACCACGAGATCTGTTGCAAATGGACCTCTCCCTATATATACCGGCTTTAGGGACTGCTGTGGTCAGAGATCTTTACATCTCTCTCACTAGAGCCTCAGTCAGAACTATAACATCAGTAAGACTATTTAAACAAACTTTTGCTCTCCATCTGATGGACAGGTATATCTGTGGCACTGAGAGGGCTTTATGGCCTGGTTTGTGTGCTTGTGATTGGATTGGAGTTCTGTTGTGTTTGAGCTATTAATGTTCTGCAGAACAAAATCAGTTTTACACTGAGTCAGGCCTG